TTATATTTTTTTTTGCTGAATTATTGTGTTTTTTTTAAGTGCCGAGTGGCATAAATTAAACCAAACAACAAAACTTCGGTATAAACTTTTATTAATAAATTTGGATTTAATCGGCTATAATTTGGCAGCCGAATAATCCAATTTGGACTAGTGTTGGAAATTAGACATTAACAGAAATGGTAATGTGCTTAGCAGAGTATTTTTCATACAGTCTTTCATTTAATTTTTCTTGTTTTGCAATTTACCATATTAAATATCTCAAAAGAAGGAATAACAATAGCATCGAATTCATGAGTAAAAAAAGCAACAGACTTCTGATAAATTTCATTCTGCAAGTATGTAATTTTTCGCTGCATCTGTAAAACTGCATGATCAAGCTGGCAGGTTTTGCGCTTCTTATGCTTCAAGGTAGAGGTAACCAGCTTATTTTTTTTTGAAATATGGTCATCCATATACTTATATAGACTAAAAATTCAGCCTATATCATATTCGCCAATTTTACTTACACTTTTGAAAGGAAAATACCAAGTAAAGGATGTTCAAATGCCAGGATCAATGGAGATTGCATGGATAGAGCCATTCACTTGGGTTTCATAGAACTCTTTTTGCTTCTTATAGATTCAAACAAATGTCCACTTATTGGTTTTTCAGGAATAAGTAAGTTTGCCATCAGATATGATTTTGTATGAATAGAACCACTTGTTATTTTTGTATTTTTTTTCAAAATAAAGAAGCCAAAAAGCACTAGGTTTGTGCCAATGCACGTATGCATACATTGATTGAGTATAAAAATAAGAAGTATAAAAATGACCCCAAAAAATTTTACTAAAATTCTGGACATAAATTGTGATAGTATGACATGATGCCTTACGTAATTGAAAAGAAAAAAAATGTATTAGGGCATCCTCTTGTCACTATATATTTTGTTTAATAATGTCATTTCGTGCAATCAATGCTTGATCAATTGCTTCATCTGTGATATTGGCTGGAGCTAAGCTGAAACAACATCATAAGAATATGCCAAGATGAACAACTGTTCTGCAAAATTTTCATTCATCCCAAATTGTAGCTTTTTGAAGTTTTGTATCTTTCTCTTTATTTGTGTCTTTGCTAGCTCTCACATTTACATATAACTTGAATTTTTCTTCAATCGGTTGAGCCTTTAACCATATTTTTTGAGTTGGCTTGATATGACAATTCTTGGTATAATATTGACGAAAATGACTTCAACAGATAACTGCATTATAGGCATATCTCACCAAACCCATCCATTGTTTGAGAATCTGTTTTTGAGAATAATTTGAATATATCTTGATTGATAATGCCCAGTTGATGGTATTTTTCATCTTCTGGTATTTATTGCAAGCTGCTATCATCTTTTTTTTTGCATTTTTTGGTTCCTGCACTCTTTTCTATATCTAGCTGCTTGCTGTCCTTGCATTCTGCAAATAAAGATTGTATTGATAGCAAGAATACCTTGGGAAAGTTCATGTTCGTCGGAGGTCAATTCATTGAAGAAAACCATGAGTTTCATAGCATGGAGTGAGAATATGTGTTGGATGAGGTTAAAGGCAAACTGACAGAGTCGATCATGGTGGGTAACCACAACTTTTGAGACCATTCCACGACTTGCTCATTCCAGTAAGGCCTTAAGTCCTGGTCATTTGAAGTTAATACCAAAACCAATGTTGCTAAGAAGTTCATAGGTTGGGAATTGAGAGAGGAGGATCTGTTTTTGTCGTTCAAGATCTTCTTTTTGCTTAAAACTGGTAGTGTCGGCAGTGGTGGTGGTGGTGGCTTTGACAGCATTTTGAGTTGTCTCAGAAAAAAAAGAAGAGATGTTGTAAAGGCGAGTTCCAGACAGAGATGTCTTAGCAAAGATCTTTCCTTTTTTGAGCCAATTGACGTAAAGTGTCTGACGAGATACCGAGTTTCTTGGTTGCTTGGTGTGCAGATAAGTACATTGAAAAAAGGGATCTTATGATTGTAAACAACTAGGAATTACTAAGCAACTAATTTGTTAGGTGTACTAAGCAATCAACAATGTTCGGTATTTGTTATCATCGTTATTATTCATCAGTTAAGTTTATTTTTTTTCTAATTGTATACGCATTTCCCACGATTAGATTATATTTTTTTATTTAATGCTATTATTATTATTATTATTGTAATATAAAAAATTTTATACCTTTCAATACCGTACAACTACAATGTAAATTTCTTTAGTGTGCGTTTCGGAAGCTTAAAGTTGCGACCAATTCTCCTTGAGATAATCCGGGATTAATATCTTCTATTATGGGCTATGGGATCTTGGGAGTATGACCGAGAATGACTGGTAAAACATTTAAGTGCGAACAAGTTAACGCAATTCGTGAATTGCTGACAATAAAACTCGTATTGTGTTAGTGAAAAGCATTTGAGAAGGACTTTATTTTTTAAACTTGGAATCCGCGTGCATAAACAATACGCGCATATACCACAACTAAATAAACTTTTTTCATTCAACAATACAATCTTATGCATAGTTGATTTCGTGCTAAGCATAAATTTACAATTTTTTTGGTCCGACAACAATTTGACGCGATTCCTTTCGCGCGTATTGTATTTTAATATGAGTGATCCGAGGCAGACAATTTTGTTAGCAATACACACTACTGATGCAAAACGTATTGTAAAGTAACCTAATGCACCCAACTGAGATAGGCGGACAAAAGAATCTCTAAATGAAATGACCGAGCATCATTAGAACGACTTTGTTAGAAAACATATAAAAGAGACACTTCAGATTGTCGTTTTCGATTCACAAGTTTGCAGACAGCGATTTTGAATTTGACATTCACAATTCGTTTTCATTCATCAGTTAAACATATTATACCTCTCTTCTGACTTTTAAAGGATGGTCGCGATTCAAAATCAAAACTACGACAACGAGGCCCCCGACAGAAAAAATGATTATGAAGAAAATCTTATCATTATCTTTGCAATTTTCGGGTTTACCTTCGTCGTGATTGTCACGGTTTCCTTGATTATTAAACTTTCGCGGAAAACTCTACGAACACAAAGACTCACGGAAAACTATGTTGATCTCAGAACAACCCAAAAATTACGCTTGGCCATTTCGTGTCCAATTTTACAAATTCGTCCCGAGGTTCTGTCGCCTCGCGCTGCGCCAAATCCACCAATTCAGCAATTTCACGTGAAAATCACGGAAACCGATTTGAAAGAAGTCGAGTTGTCATTTGGCGATCACGGTAAAGATGAAAGTATCGAACACTTTGATTCAGTTGAATCTTATGATACCCTTGACGATGCGATCAAGATGGATAAGGATAGTGATACCATTACCGAGAATACGGTTTACACCCAAGGCTCTGCAGATTCGCCGACCTCAATTTCCACATCAACACCGATCACTACTATATTTACTTCTTGGAGAAGCACAAGCTCAATAATAATTCCAAAATACCCGCAGCCTTCTTATTCATTAAATTGGAAGACAAAGGTTGGATCATTCTGAGAGACGCTCATGTGGAACATTTTTCTTGACCCATTTGTAATATATTTTATTTTTCATTAAAAATGCATGGTTTTTGTAACACGCGGAATCTGAACAGTTTACTTCTTATCTTGGTCATATTCTACGGATTTTTTTTTTGAATATGACCATATTTCGTAATTTGTATTATGCGCGAAAATCAGATGACCAAGTGTTTACGTTTTATATGATTCCGTCACATGCATGCAATTTACAAAAATGATTTTGTTGTTTGCTTACTTTAAGAGATTATCTTAGTTCGCTGTGCAAAACAATACGCGGACAAATCGTAAATCCTCGCTAATTGTAATGAAACATACTGCAATTTCTATGATTCGTTGTAATGTAGATCACAAAACGTGGGTGTAACATGAATGATAAAATGTTTTTTTCTAAAAAAAGAATCCTGATATGATAAGCGGAATTTCTTAATTATACAGTAATCATTCTGTCAATAAAAAAATTTTTAGAACCCACAATTACTTCTTTCTACGCGTGCAGAATGTGAATGGTAATTCTTTGATTATCACGAACATTCCTTTTTCCATGTAACCCCGTTTTCACCGTTCATCTCCCTCCTTCTGACGCAATCTCTACGTCCGTAGTAAGAAAGCGCCCTGCTTGTGAGCGCCAAATAGCAACAAACGCTACGGCTGCTGATCCAGTGAAAACGTTTGTTATTGGTATATTTGCGGATTCCCATGCGTTCAGGGGATGGAATGCTTTCTATTACAATTAACATAGCTGACCCGGTTTAGCTATTCTTGGCCATCTGTTGGCGATTGATCGCGCAAACCCCAAGATTGACGTAATGTTTTTTGGTTCCTTTCCACGTAATAAACATGGACACACCATTATCTGTAAGTTCGATTTTGCATCTACCGAATGAAATCTCATAAGCCATTGGTTATATAGGTCATTTGTTTTATTATGGTCCATACATGGATTATATGGATTATGTATATCGTTATCTCGTAGAATTAGTAGAATCCTTGAATTTCATGCAAGAAATATACCAGAAAACATTTGTCAGCGTTATTAATCTTGTGAAGAGATCTTGGAAGACCTATCTCGACGGTCAACACACATGTACAGTATACGGGCGATGATTATCTTTTGGGGGGCGACAAAAATGCCAAATATCATTCTTTGATTCCTATTTTAAATAAAGGTTATATAATGCTAATCCAGAAAATTCGGGCAGGGTTCATTATAAGTTGGGTGTGTATATGGTAATGTGTGGATAGGTCACGAGGGCTTTGGGTTTTCACAAAAGGTCATGCATAATATTATCCATGATAACATCATTCATTCATTCGTTCATCCATCCATCCTTCCATCTATTCATTCATTCGTCAAGGAGTTTGACTTTTTGTCCAAAAACATACATGTGCAGATTTGGTAAAATCATTATCTCGTTCCATTGATTTCAAATCTCTAATGTGGACTATTTAAAAAACAACAGAATCCTATCTCAGTCTGTTGACGAATGAAATTTGTGTACTATGGAAATACGAGTTGTAATGTTTGCCATTTAAAGCTCAAATGGTAAATTTCAATCGGGGGGACCTCAAAATTTGATCTAGAAGAGGCAAAAGTCTTGGTTCTCGAGATTGGTCAGGTGGTTACACCAATCCTGAAAACTTGGTTTTTTCCGTCAAGCCGAAATTAGGTTTCGGATTTTACCGAGAATTGACCTATTTCCTGAATAAGTCTCCTTCCTCAAATGTCTTTGTAGTTAATACTCGGTATGATCACGTGTTATTTGGTAAAAGAAAATGAAACAAATTAAATTTATTGTTTATATTCTTTGCATGTATGACAATCCATTTGCATTATTTCAATTACTATCTTTAATAGAATTAATTTCTGAATTTTCCTTAATTCCCTCCTTCGTGGAACCAAAAAAAAAAAATAGAAATAGAAAAACAACAATAATTTTATCATTTTTGGATTGAAAACATAAAAGAAATTTCGATGGAAGGGTGAAGGCAAATTTACCATTTGTTCTGCCCTGCGGCAAATCCTTCGGGCGAGCGATGCTAATTTTTTGGGAATCACCAAATTAATCTTCCCATCAGATTTCCCTTATTACTAGCTAGGTAACATGTGTGCGCATTAATAAATGATTAATTAGAAATTTGTATGTTGTTTTTATTTTTTTATTTTATTTTATTTTTTTAATGTGCGTGTATTGGTGAAGCAATTAGGGGGGAATGAGGTGTATGTAAATTATCCAAAGAAAATAAAAAAAAAAAAACGAATGCAAAATCAATTTATGGATAAATGCTAAAAGCCGAAAGATGTTGCAAGAGAAAAAAAAAGGCTCGATGACCAGAGGAAAATTCAGATTAATGCCAAGAAAAAAAAAAAAAAAAGAAAGAACCCTAACGTTTGCCATATTTCGTAAAAAAAAAAAAACCATATTCATAATAAATGTAACAAAGAGTAGAGAGACGGTAAGCAAGGCTTACCATGAACATAGAATTTCTGTATTAATTATTAAGAAGACATAAGAAAACGAATGAAATGTGTGAATTTGTTATTGATTGCGACGGGTGGAAAAAAAATGCATATGAAGATGAATAATTAAGTTCTATAATTTGAGAATTTAAATGCTGTAACGTAAGAGTGTGTGGTTTGCTTTCAATCTATCTGGGAATGAGAGTTAATTATTTACAGTATTTGTTATGGTTGTGAAAGATGTTGTAGTGAAGAAAAAAATAAAATAAGGATGATCTCTTCAACGTGTTTCTCTTAGAAAACCGTTACGGGTTTTCAACCTACTTTTTTGAAAGTTATTTTCCGAATAGTGCACGTAAAAGAAGAAAAAAAAAAGAGCTCGAAACATGACGAGAAGATACGCGTTTTGTTCCCACCCATATATAAAACCGAAAACAGAAATAAAATGTGATGTTTAAGAAAGAAAATTGTTCGTTTTTTTGCAAATATTATTTGGTGTGAAATTAATCTCCGTAAAGGATGTACGAAAGTTTTTTAAATTAACGATGTTAAATTACAATTCCCTAGTATCCCCTTAGAATGGTGGCATTATGGCTTAGCATCTTCACGCCTTCTACTTCACCATCATAACGGGGCTTCTTGACAGTTCTGCCCATCCGATGAACTCGGAGATGTCGTCGCATGTTACTCTGCACCGAAAATTTCCTTCCGCACCCAGGCTCGGTGCAAATGAACGGTTTTTCTCCGGTGTGAGAATACGTGTGAATCCTGAGCGAGCTAGGACGCGAAAATCTCTTTGAGCAGTAAGGACACTGATAGCGATTTCCACTTGAGGAACCGTTTGGAGACATCTGTTCGTGAGAACTAAAATGTTTGATGGGCGATGCATTCGGCAACATTGCTGGATAGGGACTCATGGTCAAGTTTGACCTACGACCATATGGAGATATAGGAGTTGGATGAAATATTTGAGGGAAGGAGGAGGAGGGGGTGGTGGTAGTGGTGGTGGTGGTAGAAGGGGAGTATCTTTGCTGGATCGGATCGACATATGTGTGATGATTGTAACTTCCTGTGGGTTGACTATAAGGAGGGTGAGAGGAAGAGTAGACAGGGGTGGGTCTCACACAGCAGGCACATTGGGATTCCAATGGTGGTTGGACGGATTGAGGTGCGACATAGTTTTCTGAGGCTTGTCGAGCACCGTAAATGTCGAAAGAAGGTTGTTGAACTGTGATCATCTCGGGAGATTGGGGAGGTGAGAGCAAAGATCTAATGCTGTTGTTAGCACGTGGACTAGGAAGATTGCTCAAACTTGCGTGTTTGCTAACTACAGGAGAGTGGCGAGACTCGGTCGATTGAGTGGACATGGGGGGGAAACTTTGAGGGCGGTTATAGGCGTCCAAAGGGGAAGATGGAGTGTGTGCCGGGAAGCCAAACAATGGACCTAATTGGTGTCAATTAGGAGGAAAACGAACGTTAGGGTGGATCAACCAACAGGTAATTACAATCATTACACGATTACACGACGAGGATTCACTTACCATGACCATCATCGATGGGAGAGTCAAGAAGGAATTTGATCGGGGGAAGAGAGGTGGAATTCTTAGATTGCATATTTGAATTCTTTCAATTCGTTAATTTATACCTCAAGGAACTGGAAAATTTATTTGGTTTTTGATATTCGACAAAAAAAAAAATAATTTTTTTTTGCTTTTTTTTTTTTTTTAAAAAAAATTTTTTTCAAATAGAAAAAATAAAAATGGTCCTCTACATATATTTTCTGAAAAGCGACAGGACGATGCACTTTTCCACAATCAGGGGACTAGACAATATATACAAAGGAAAAGCCTCTATGTAATAATCGAATCCAAAATAAGAAACGAATATGACACGAGATGTGACAAATTGCGGTGGCGGCTATAAAATTGATGAGCGTTTTAAACACCGTGTTGAAGAAACATGGAAAGTAATGCGTATTTATATTGCTTCTGAATCAGATTCTCGCGTGATACAGGATCGACATAATTTTAATGCATTCTGTAGATACCAAATTCTCTTTACTGTGTTACGTAATCGTACCGTAATAAAAAAAAAAAACATTGGTAGTCACTATAATACGTAATAAATTATTAATGTGTATACAAAAGCTCATCATCATATGCAAACTTTTTTTTCTTTATGATTTGGCTTCGATCATCCTCAAACTCCTTGAGCAAAATGGAAAAAAAGAGACCAAAAATCAATATTATCAACATTCAATATATAAATTCACTGCTGATTACCATATAAGGCCATTAAATAATATTATTTTGTTCAAGTTGCGCATTCCCCAGATAATTAAATTTGATACGCGATATAAAATGCCGATCTGGTGCGTTTTAGTAGAAAAATACATGTACGTGCCTCCGCTTCTTTGTCGCTGTGTAGTGCATCAACTTTTAGCCGATTGATATAATAAGGAAGATCCTAATTGGATTTGCTGTGAAACCGTAAGAGGAGCATTAAGGAAAGTGATCGTCGCTAATCCAATTGTTATTAATTTCGGGACTTCCTTTAAGGAGAAATTAACAGTATCAGCTTTCAATCAATAGGTGCGTGCGTGCGTATAAAATGAATCCAGACCTTTATCTTCGGACCAGAAAGAGATCGTTTTAAGAACCCTTGTTTTAGACTATCATTTCCGTTAACACCATACAAAAACAGGATGGATCAGGCAATAATTACATTGGATCACTAGATTTGGAAAAAGGTGATTAAAAAACTATTTTCTGAGTATAATGTTTATGCCCACGCAAAGCCATTATCTTTACCCAATTTTGCCTACGAAAAAAATTTTTTCTCGAAGAATTGCAAACCCCCTCAATTAACTTTTTCGTGATCGACTGATGAGACCATTATAACCGATACACGCGAGAATTTAACCATTTACAAATTTGGATATTTGACCGGTGGAATTTCTTTCTTTTTCTTTTTATGGATGAGTGTGATAGCTCAGACAATAGGATGATATGATGGTGATCTTCAATTCGCGAATTTATTCATTGACATCAGGTGTTTACATTGATAATGATCACACGTCTGTCAACACAATTTCAGATTCATATCAATACCTGGAATTTCTATGCTTAATCATTTAATTTTTAATTTAATTTATTTTACTTTTTTATTTTTATTTTTTATTTTACCTCTTCGTCGACCTTATCTGGGCATCAATCCGAAACACATCTGATAGGAGAAATGAAATTGCCGGTGTCTGATATCCGTCGTTATCCCGTACAGTCCACAACTCGTTGATATGTGCGACCAGAGATAAAACAAAAAAAGCGGGAAATTGAGCATGCGCTGTAAATCAAATTTTTTCGATTCGCGACCAAGAACCTACATGCAGAGTCTGTTTTAGTCAACATCAATTTTGATTTGACCTTAATTTATCCGAGACATAAATTATCCTGCATGGAATGCATAAATGAGTTCATCATGAGATTTCGACGGATTTGCCGAGCCGATCCGCGGTAGATCTGAAAACAGAGATCTTCAATCATTATTTGCTGCATAATATAATATAATATAATATATCACGGTGTCAATCGGATTTTCCGAGCCGAACCGACATTAGTTTATTGTCGATCCTTATAAACAAATTTCCATTATACAATGAATGAGTTACAAACAATCTCGTATTTCCTAAAAATGTCGAGAGCTTCTTCTCGTCGAGAAACAATTCTAGAAAATAATAATCTTTGTCGTGCAATGTGATGGTAACAGATGAGAAAGACTGACAGTTGACAATTTTGGATTGAATCTCTTTGAAGAACTTGTACTTTCATGCGTGAATTGAAGATTTCGTGAAGTTCCTCACGGCAGCACTCGATCACATGAAGGAATTAATTTTCTCATTTATAGCAAATTCTGTCCATTAAATATAAACAAAAGGAATTCGTCGACTTCTATCATAAATAGAACAAAATTGTGACATTTCACGAGCGATCCTTGGAATTCTATTAGGTAGGTTATACGTCATAAGTATTACTCGGAATCGAATAAACAAGGTTTTGGAAGATTCACTGAGTAAAATCTTGGTCGATCCCAATTTCGTAATGTAAACTTTCAATGCAGTATGCATGGAAAATCGCATCAAAAGAGTGAAACTTCTTGATTAATTTTGCCTTACACAATAATTCATATGGTTCCTCCTTTCCAAACCCACTCATCAACAATTAATAATCTCGGTTGTGACTTAGATTAAAGATTCTTTAATTTTCGTGCATAAATAATGCAAGGAAAGAATTACAATCTTGGATTCACAAACTGATCCTCCTGCGACAAATCACCGACTGACGATCCAAAGTGATAAGATACACAGTGATCTCAATGACCTCATTCTTGACGATGTAATTACCACCGTGCTACCAGGAATGCACCTATCACATCGGAATCCGGAATTAGTATAGTTTCGACACATGTCCTGCGGGGCACGGGCGTGTTTTATGAAATTAATACGGATCCGGATCCAGAGTTATTCCTTGAATGACTTTTTTGGTGAATTCCTTCTGACAATAGTGAATGACTTGGTTCGATCGGACAAACAACCGCATGCGCATATGATTTTCCAACAGTGTCCGATGGATTCGCAAAAAGCTATGATCCGAAAATCCAGAGTCTGGAATAAATATAGTGTAGATGGAATAAAGATCATTTTCTATGTGTAATTTAGTAAATACACATGTGAATATTGCACTCATAGTAGAGAATCAGATTTAGAAATTCCAATTCTTGTTCGGTCGTTTTATGATGGACCACAAAATGGGGATTCTTCACCATGCACGTTTCTTTGCCCAACTGTAGCGACATCCATTGATCCGAGAATCATTTGTTTGGATGCGAAATAGCGAAATTTTTGTTTCATTAAAAATACAGTATCCCTATTTTCAACAATAATTCACATGACTGAACACGCCAGAAAATCCCGAGATACCATCGTTCGTACTAAATATGAGAAATGAAATCTTCCTAAACCACAAATGCATAAAGATTAATCTGGAATTTTCCTGAATTGGTTGATTCGGAAAGAAAATTTGAATGAATAACAAACATGCGCACGCGTACACAATATCTGAAAATCAAAAAATACTTTATTGATCTACTACGAAAATCATTTTATGGTGTGATTTTTGAAACATAATTAGCCCAACGTGAATAGCATCTGAAAGCTAATTAGAAAGGGATTTCGGCATAGTTTACGGGACCCAAATGTTAACACGGATGGATTGTAACACATCATTGATAATTACTAGTCATTGCTAAGTAAGGATCATCAATTCCTACATCCACATGTGGATGGCTCCATCAAGCAACGCCCGTAG